TAGATTTCATTTTAAACTTGTTTATGAAGACTTTACTTAATACTATGTTTCTACATAATTTTTTTCTGAAGAGCTAAGTGATATGCTTAGTTATGGAAAAAGTGATTGTTGCCTTTCAGTATGCTGTCTCAGAAATGTTTTGCTGGTTCTTTGACCTCATATATCCCCTAGGACTGCTCTCTTGCAGCTTGTTCTTTATTGTGAAAGAAAACTGTCACAGCCTCTCTCTCTCTCCCCACTCTGCACAAAGCAGAAAAAAATTATTGTAGCCCACTGCTACACAATGTATTTCTTTTAAATAATTAGGCCTTTAATAATATCTGCTTCCTTAGTTTCCTAAATGCTTGATTATGATTTTATTACATAGATTTGTAGAACACCCATTACGGTAGTAGCTGGACATACCTTGCATAGCTAAAGTTGAGTCATTAACATTCTCTGTAAAGGAGCAAAATACCATGTTCTCCTGCTGCCTTACTTTTTAGCTAGAGAATTATATGGCCAATTAGCAAAGTCCCCTGAAAAAGCCATGGTTAACAGATCAATGCATCTTGCAACTCTTTCCCATTTAAGAATATTTCTGGTGTAGCAAATTTCAAAGATGTGGGGCTCATACTAGGATTGCCTCGCCTTAAGCTCTCATGAGCTGCATTCTTCAGACAGTGTGTACCATTGTTGAAGTTTTCCTTTTCACCTGCCTGACAAAAATACTCCAGAGTTTCATAACAGAGATGCAATGCCATAAAATAATCTGGAGTGTAAACTCTTTGTGACAGGGACCTGTCTTTTAGTCTTTTCTGAGAAGCATATTTGTGAGTACCATGCAAAAAAATAATGAATAATAATGTGTACCTGTTTAATATGGTAAAACCACACTCATTCACACTGATCAAGAAACCACATGTGAAGTGTGCGTAGTTCTGAGCCTGTGTGTATATGAGATGTTGATGATCCTCATTGGCCAGTCAAGGAACACGGTCCATCTACATTGATCCTGCCTGATAAAGTATGGTGATTGTGACAGGAGTGGAGCTGCTCTGTAAATTATTGGGTTTCCAGGTACCTGAAGTACAAATTAGTGAGGTTCTGCTGAATTGTCTAATTGTATTTCTGTTCTGGAGACAATCATTTATAATATAGGCTACTTTGAGGAAACACACTGCCCTCCAGTACAATTTTCAGATTCTTGGTTATGATGACAGCAGAAATGTTGAATTCTTTAGACAGTCTTTGAACTTGGTAGATCAAAAGCTATGTGTAACACATTTAATTTGTTAAGAAAATGCGGTGGTCCCTAGCATCAGTGTTTTTAAGATAATGAAGTATGAAGATACTATGTTGCACGAAGTCATCAGAAAATACAGACTTATCTATTGGCTCTACTGCATTTCAAATAATTACATAGCATAGTTCTGATAAAGATTTCAGGACTTTCAGATGAGTTTCAGATATGCCAAAATTGCTATTTCTAAGTATAATTAAATACACATACTTAAAATGCAAAGTGTTTTTATATATACATCGCCTTCCAATTTAGGAGCTCAAACTGCCATACAAACAATAATAAATTAAGCCTCACAGATCTGAGAGTGTTAAGTAAACATTATAATCCCCATTTTTTAAGTGGGGGAACGAAGGCTGAAAAGTTAAGTGACTTTCCCATGATTGCACAGCTGAGAAGAAAACTTGTCTCTTGACTCCCATTCATGTGCTGTAATCTCTGGACCAACTGCTGTGGTATGTTCATTATATTCATTATTACATATAACTGAGGAAGGATCAGTCTTTTGGTTAAAGCTCTAGACTAGAAGTCGGGAGTTCTGAGTTCAGTTCCTATTTCTGCCACAGACTTCTTGTGTGACCTTGGGCAAGTTACTGAATCTTTCCATTCTCTATCTGTAAAACAGATACAATACTTCCTGTTGTCCACTCTGTGCTGGTCTCGTCTATTTAGATTGCAAGCTCTTTGGAGTAGAGCCTGTCTCATTGTGCGTAGCATGATGGAGCTCTCATTGCAATTAGGGCTGGTAGACATCTGCTAGTACACAATCTTTTGACAACCACGTCAGATTGCTGTGGTAACACATTGTACAGACAGTACAATTCTATGAGAACTTTATTTTGTTTAAAGAAAAATTTTAACTTGAAATCAGCCTGAGTCCTTCTGTCTGTTTTAGTGGATTTTAATCACATTTCATATTTTAAAATTTTTCTTTTTCATTTTGCTTTGTGAAAGACCCACACAGACAAGAGAAATTGACTAACTAGCAAAAAGCCTAAGTCCTGCAAACAGTTATTCACGTGCTTAACTTTAAGTATGTGAATGGTCCCACTGATTTTAAACAGGACTATTTTTGTGCTTAGCACATGCATAAATATTTGTAAGATTGGGGCCTGTAACAGGGTGGCTTGCCCCTTTAAGAGGCCTGGGGCCAGCCAACTCTAGTTACTAAGGAAGCACATCTGAGCAGGAATCAGGTGATTCCCCTATAAAGAGTAGCAGAAAGCTGCAGAGAAGTGGGAATGCTCAGGGAAGCCAGAGTGGAATACAGAGGCCGTTATGAGTGAGTAGGCTCCAAGAGAGAGACCTGGGATTTGGGAATGAGTCTGTAGACAGGAAAGGATCCCTGATAAGAGGGTAAATTGATGGACTTGAAGAGACTGTATTTTGATCTGTTTTTGATTAAACCAGACCCCCAAGGAGGGGTAGAATTGGATGGAAAGAAAGCAGACTCCACGGGAGTGAAAAAGACTGCAGCCAGGTAGGGCTGAGAATAGCTTGCCAAGGCTGGGAAGAGCTGCAAAGAGCAGACTCATGGGGAGAAGAGAAGCCCCAGGACTGAGTTTTGCTTTTTGTCTTATGTCAATAAATTACATGCTGGGAGAAGGGGCATTATTGAACAAAAAAGCCTTTGAAGTTTATTTGAAAAGTCCATTTAAGGGGAATCTGAGGCAGGCTGCTTGTAGCGCAACCAGCAGCGGCTCCAGGCACCAGCGCTCCAAGCGCGTGCCTGGGGCGGTAAGCCGCGGGGGGTGCCCTGCCGGTCCCTGTGAGGGTGGCACTCAGGCAGCCTTCGGTGGCATGCCTGCGGGAGGTCCGCTGGCCCCGTGGGTTCGGCAGTTATTCGGCGGCGGGTACGCTGAAGCCGCGGGACCGGCGGACCTCCCGCAGGCGCGCCACCGAAAGCTGCCTGCCTGCCATGCTTGGGGCAGCAAAAAAAAGTTAGAGCCGCCCCTGAGTGCAACAGAGGATGGCCCATTGGCAGAGCCTGTTTGCCTATACAAGGGGAAACAGTGAAACAGACAACCTGCTTTCAAATGCACAAAATAAACTGAAAAGATAGGGATATTTTTTCTTAAATCCTTCTGTTTTATGGTAAATGTATTTCATTGTTTGTAATAGCAGTAACAAAAAATTCAGACAGTGATTTTTAATTTGACTGTATTTCTTAATTAGATTACAGTGTCTGCTTCAAAATAGTGGCTTTAAACATGAATAGTAAAACTTTTGTACAAAGCTTTTTTTTTAAAAAAAGCACAATTAGTACATATCCTGAATCATTTACATTTTGTGAACATTTTATGTCTGAACTTGTTTAAAAGAAATATTTAACAAAATTCTGATTTATTACTTTTATTTGCCCTTTATTGGAAAGAAAAATGAAAATATATTTTCCCCTGAGCTATTTTCAGTTAACATGAAATGGACACCGTGTTTTTCCTAGTTTCAGAATTTACTAGTTTTAATTGGTCCCTCAGTTTATGGAATTGATTTAATTGAGCATAGTATTCTTCCCACCCTCATGTTAATACTCATAGGAAAAGAACAACCACTATTTCCCACCACCTTCTTATTTTCTTGCATGCTGCCCCTTGCACATGTTTTCCCCAAACTTACTCGTAAGGCCACTACCCATTCACTCTTCAAGTCCCTCACTTGAAAGAACCACTTCTGCTGCAGCACTTACAAGAAATCAGCCAGCGAATGTTGTCTAGAGCCTTTATCATTCAAGCTGTTTGAATGTGTCCTCTGGAGTCCCACTGAAGCTAGAAGGGTTCTGTGGAAGGGAAGGAGCTGAGGGCAACTGGATTATTTAAAAATCCTTGTAAAACTGTGTAAAGCCATATTCACTTGGTGACATCATGGCAGAGGTAAGTTTTAAGGAGGGAATTAAAAGAGGAGAAACTGGCTTTGTGGATTTTTGGAGGGAGCTCCTCCCACTCATAGGGGGCAGCATGGGCATGGGCAAAAGCAGAAGAGTGATTACTTCCTGGACGCTTCCTCTTTGGTTCACCCCAGTATATTCTCCACAGACTTTAGGGAGTAACCAGGTGATTTAAGATGATTTAAGATGAATATGGAAAAGTCTGAACCTTTCTTCAATGTGATCTCCTTTTGACATCTATACTATTTAGACTGGCTTTTTGTGGGTTTAAATATTTGGATATTCATATTGTATCCAAATGCCCGACTTAGTTCTAATTGATATTAACATTACTAATATTAAACAAGATTTGATGGGACCCATAAAAACAGAAGTGCATGAAAATAGAAGGTGTTGGAGAGAAGAATCAGAACAGTTCTTTCAGAACTTTCAAGCAGGCAAGGCTTGGCTCTAGAGAGAGCAAAAGTTTGGAGGACTGAGATATTCCAATTTTGTCCAAACTCTTCCCTTCATTCTCATTTTTTGTGTGTCCTCTAACGTATAACTAAACAATAATATTGTATTATGTGGATCCTCATGCATTTCCCCCAGGTTTTTTTTAACTTGTTTTATGGAGGAAATTTAGGATGAACAATGGAATGTATCTCTTGACAGTAGGGGGAAGGATATTTCAAATGGTATTTACAGGCAATATGGATCTCTTTTTATAATTTTTCCTTCTTTTCAGTAATATGCCCTCCTATGTAGCTATCAGCATTTATTTTACTTATATAAGTATAAATCGGGGGTTTATTTCAGACTGAAGAATGATTAATAATATTTATTTCATTTTAGGACATTTTGTACTACGAACAGCTTAAGTCCAATGTGATTCAGCATGATCTTTTAGTGGACAGCCTGATTTACAAAGTGAGTAATTCATTAATTAGTGAGTATTTACTGATCAAAGCAATAACTCTGTATAAAGAAAACACAAATGTTCTGGTTATATGGAGCATGGGAATAAAGCGTGCTCATCTTTGAGTGTCCTCTACATGGAGGGAATGGTTTGATGGGATAATGTGATTTTAGTCAATTAGGCAATAACGTGCCATCGCTGGTAAAATGAGGGTCCAGCTGGAGAATCTTGCCTGTATGCTCGGGGTTCTACTGATCGCCATATTTGGGGTCGGGAAGGAATTTTCCTCCAGGGTAGATTGGCAGAGGCCCTGGAGGTTTTTCGCCTTCCTCCGCAGCATAGGGCAGGGGTCGCAAGCTGGAGAATTCTCTGCGACTTGAAGTCTTTAAATCACGATCTGGAGACTTCAACAGCTGAGTTAAGGGAAAGTGGGTGGGTCAGCTTTTGTGGCCTGCATCATGCGGGAGGTCAGACTAGATGACCATAATGGTCCCTTCTGACCTTAAAGTCTATGAGTCTATGAGTCTATGGGATGTGCTGGCTGCTGCAGACTGGATGGTGGAAACTTCTTGTAGCAGTGCTCTTTGGAGTCTTCACATCTCCCTCTTATCCCTCCCTCAGTGTTTCTGAATGTGTGGTGCTCTGTGCTGCCTCATTTCCTTCCAGCTGCAGGAGCGGGAAGATGTGAACCTCTCTGGATGCTTTGAATCCAGATCCTTCTCTCAATAAGATTTTAGTACCTTAGTCTAGTCTAGTTTTAGCGTTAATACAGTTAGTATTAGTTATGGGATATATTTAGTTAATAGTAGTCAGCTCTTTGATTCTGACTTCTGGGTCCATGGTGGATCCAAAGTTGAAATAACTGGATTTTAAATGGTACGTGTGTGTGTGATATCATGTGGTCTCTCCAGTATCAGATGCTCGCACTAGATGTTTAGATGGCATGCCTGGATGAAGGCCACTCTTCTTCAAGATGCTCAAACTTCAGCACCTTTACCCTGTGAACATGTAAGGAGTAGCAGAATAGGCTACAAGCCTTACTGTCACAAGAAGCAGCGGCTGTGAAGCCTGTCTGCTCCAACTCTGCTAAAGAATCCAAGCTTAAAGATAGGAAACTGATATAATGCCTAGAACCTTCCAGACCTTGCAGTGGAAAAGGCTCTGGTCTCTGAGCTGGGCTCTGGTTCCAAGGCTGTTGCATTATCGGTATCTAGTTTTGAAGCACTTAAAACGTCGATTGGTTGTGGCCTCTGACATGAGAGCCAAGCCATAACAGATCCAATAAACCTTGGTTCCAAGAAAGAAAATATCAAGTAGATGGGCAGCGCACCTTCACGATCTGTTAATTCAGAACCATTGGAGTTATGGAGAAAAGAGATTTGTATGTTGTTGGAGAATAACAGAGTTTTTACTTTTTGTTTGGGTACAGCAAGTTAGATACTTTATTTTTTTAAGCAATTGCGTAGAGGGAGAGAGCTAAACAGGTTTCTTAACAGCTAAACAATTACAGCAAGCATTTATACTTTTTGTTACAGACAATAATGAGCAACAGCTGCATTTTGTTTATACATAGGTTATTCTGATATTTTGTTTTTCTTGCTTGTTTAGATTTTAGTTTACATACAGCATTATTTACACAAGGTTGCAACAACTTTTTAAACAGTTTTTTTTTTACTTGCCTTACACAATTCTCGCTTTTACAAATTTTGCGTTATTAGGGTTACGGTTAGCCTGACTCTTGCTAACAAACTGTTATGCATTGCAATTTCCTTTTTGTCAGTTCTTTTTCTGCTTCCACACCCCCCCTTTTTGTATTACTAGTACAACAAACATTTTAAAATTTTTATTTGCATTAAGTTTTGGAATTTAGATTTTACTTTAAATGCTTTAACCTTAGGGGTTTTGATTGGATGTAATGACAATGCATGATGAGCATGGACATGAAAGGTTTTACTGTTATTACGTTCTTTATAACAACAATAACATAATTCTAAGCTAACTAATAGCAACACAAGCAATAACATTTTCATAGCAATAATATGATGGGGTTGTTGTACAATTTTAGTTATAAAGCACAATACATTATACTTAGTACATAAAGTAAACACTTTATAAGCTGTATAAAAGGCATACTTTTTAACTTGATATATATTTTGAAGCATGTGAATTTGCCCTTGTATTTTAGAGATTTTTTGAACCTTTGGTAACAGTGAAAGCAAATTTTGAAACTGATTAGGCACTAAACTAGTTTAATTAAAGGGTATTTGGAACCTAAGGGCTACTTGCAAAATTTTATCTGCAGGCCAGTAAATAATATGATTGCCTGCAGTGGTAATGAAATTAAAATGTATGTTTTGCAATGTGGTGGCTTTAACATACTTTTTCAAGCTAATAATAGCTGTGTGTAAGTGTTCTGTTAGGGTAGTTTCTTGTTTTCTACCCTCCTAGCAAACGTAGTTATGAAGAGTAACAACTTCTCCTGGCTTCAGTTTATGGATACACTGAAGCTGTGAGGGTTCTAACGGCCAAAATGTTTATTGACTTTCTAACCCCATTTAAATGTCAGATGTAATTTCAGGAGCACTGACTAAAAATTGATTAGTTTTTAATGTTTTTTGTAGGAAGGAATTTCTGGACTTTGTGGTTTTAATGCAGCAAGTGTTCCTTGTTTTTTATTTTTTATTTTTTTTTAAAACAGTGTGGTTTAGCATTATACAGGGGAGAGGTTACTAGCACATTACCCTGTAATGGCTTTGCTTTTTTTTGAAAAATCCAGAGGCACAGTAGGGCTGTCAGTGGACAAGGGAGAGGTTACTAGCACTTTACCTTGTGTTTTTTTTTTTTTTTTTTTCCTGCTGTCCAGAAGGCACAGCAGAGCTAGAAGGAGAAATAGGCTTATTATTAGTTGGAGAGTTCTTCCGAGGTGGAGGGGTCTCTTTAGAGTGAGAAGCATGGGTTCAGGTAGGCAGACCTTGGCACTTTACAGCAGTGTTGGTGGTTAACAGGACTTGGAAAGGGCCTTTTCAGCATGGAGCCAAAGCAGTCTTTCATTGATGGACTTTACGTAGACTCAGTTTCCTGGTTTTAATGAATGGCAGGGCTGCTAGGGTCTTTGGGTAGCAATTATTTTATCTGTGAGAAAAGAAACCTGACACATTTTATTAATGCCTCGCAGTGTTTTGCAGATTTAGCAGCTGAAGTCTAAAAACCGGAGTCTAAAAGCTGCTTGGGCACATTTAAGCAGCTGAAGTGTAAAAACCGGAGAGGGGTTTAGCATTCCTCTCTCCACCCCGGTTAACCGGGAAGGTTGTCAGGTGGATCTACCCCAGTCGTAGCAAGACTGGGCAATAGAGAAGTTGAAGAAAAGGGAAGAGTTGTGTACTTGATAACTAGAATTGAGTAATTAAAAGCATAGATCATAAACCAGGCAGCAACTCAAACCTACGCCCAGGGCAAGTTGCAAGCCTTGAAACAGAACTTCCAGGCAGAAAAGGAAGCACTGGCTAAGCAAGTACTGGTCCTTCAGGAACTTGTCAAAATTTATTATTTGTACTTAGCCTGGTCTGTGTTGATTCTTGACCTTGAACGCAGATTAACTTTCTCTTCATCTCTGGACCAAGCTGAATTTTAAATTAACCCGTTCCTTTCCTTAATAGACAAATTGCTCCCATTGTGTGTCGGAGGCTTTTTGGTGATTAAAAGCTCCTCTGAGATGTATGATCTTATTTAGATTGAAGGTACCTTCCAGTGGGCATTGTTTAGATGGATTTGCATGCATGTAATGATTCCAATTCTCTAAATACTTGCAGGTTTTAGAACCATAATGTACGTACATGAAATAAGGTGGGGTACCCTTAGGGGGTGAGAGGGAATGCTTAGACTGTCCCCCACCCATTTTTCAATTACACGCACAGGGAGGATGCCCTGTCCGTGCTAGCGGCACATAAACTAAGGATCTCTCCCTACAGGGTACTTACACAGGAGAGACTAACGAGGATGGCCACGACCCTTTTACACCTTCCTTTAGCAAAGAGCGTCGGCTAGTCTCTGAGGGCTGGTCTATACTTACCGGTTAGTTCGACGGCTGGAAATTGAACTTCCGGGTTCGATTTATCGCGTCTGGTCTGGATGCGATAAATCGATCCCAGAAGTGCTCGCCGTCGACTGCGGTACTCCAGCTCGGCGAGAGGAGTACCACGGAGTCGACGGGGAGCCTGCCTGCCGCGTGTGGACCGCGTCTGAACCGCGGTAAGTTCGAACTAAGGTATGTCGACTTCAGCTACGTTATTCACGTAGCTGAAGTTGCGTACCTTAGTTCGACTTGGGGGGTTAGTGTAGACCAGGCCTGAGAGACAGCACCATCCAGAAATGTTCTGATTGTTGAAATATGTAAGGTTGCTACTTTGAGGCTCTAGTCACACCTTTCCAAAATACTATTCATTAGATCCTGCATCTAGATTGGCCTTGCTGAACTGAGCATCCATACTACAATCTTTATTCAGTTACAACACTGAATCCCACCATCCAGTCATGGGGTGTTGCTTGCCAAACTATCCCATGACTCAGTATATGCAGAGGACACTTGAAGAAGAAATGGAGATTACTTACTTGTAACTGGAATTCTTTGAGAGGGATGCTGCACATTCCCATTCCCTGCCCACCTTCCCCTCTTCTTCAGAGTGTTAATGAAATATTGACTCTGCGGTGGGCTAGAAGGAACTGAGACGGGACACCATGCCCCCTTTTATAGCCTCGCTCTCAGAATGTTCAGAAACATTGAGAGGAGGGGCAGGAGCAGCAGTAGGGATGTGTGAGCCCCTAACAGGCACTGGTGTGAGAAGTTTCCACAGTCCAAGCTGCACCAGCCATGCATCCAATGAGTGTGAATGTGTGGAGTCCATCTTCAAGTATTCCCGTTACAAGTAAGTAACCTCCTTTTAGCATGAATGACAATTGTAGAATCCAGTCGTTATTTAAAAATCCCCACAAGAACACAGAGGACTTGTCTGCAGGATTGAGCCCTAAACTGTTGATGTTTGGGGTGACTCAAGGATGATGACTCAAGGATGCTTTTTGTTTGATGCTGGTCTGAATAAACACCAAAAGCAGAGCTTTTGGTCTCGGGGTCTTAGTCCAGAATATGATTGTAATCAAACCATTGTAGTGTTTTTGTGTTGTAATTGTAAATATGAAGTCTGTGTATGACATCAGCTGATAAGTGACAGGAAACTCACTAATGCTGAAACAATGTCCTCAACCACTATGCTGGGCCTGGATTCTGCAGGCATCACCCAAATGAAAAAATTATCTTTCAGCGCCAAACTGCTATATTTTTTTAATTGTAGGATGTAAAGCTGACAGCAAGCAATGATGACTACTATTTTGTATTTGAGGATTATTTATATCAGGTAAGTGGCTAGTTCTGCTTTAGAAAAGATGAAAGTATGTATTTGTTGGATTGTAACATCTTTGGGGGAGGAACTGTGTTTTTGTACATGTTTGAACTGTACCTAGCATAATGGGGCCCCTAATTGAGGGCCGTAGATGCTACTGTAATACAAAGAATAAATAATATCACTTTCTGGATATAGGTTATATAAAATAACCTATATGCTGTAGAAAGACCAGGGTCACTCTCTCTCCTGTGTCAATGCACTGGACTTTCTGAAGTCCCTTGTATTATCAAATAGAATATTTCTGAATTTAAACAAGACTAGTCTAGAAACTGAGCAAGACACTTGGATGGGAGTGTATTGGAGGAGACAAAGACTTATTCAGAAGCCCCCAAATTGGAAATGATTCTACCTGTTTGTTTTTTCAATACAATAATATAGAAGGGATGAAGCCAGCCTGTTCTTTGTTTTTCCAGTAGTCATAAGTTGGTTGTTTCGGTTTTTTTTTTTTTTTTAAGTAGAGTTGAAGGGCACACAAATTGACTAAGTCTTGAGAAGAATAGTCAAAAAATCTTAGTTTAAAAATAAAAATGTTGCTTAACAATGGCTTACTGTAATGGGTAATGAAGTGGTTAAATATTTTAAAAATAAAAAAAATAGTAATTATAAATATAGTATTGTGTGGATGCAGCAATGTCATTTTCATCATTTCTAACACTTCTAGCAAATAATTTCTAGTTAATTTACATGGAATTATCTACATTACTTCCCTTTAAATCTTTTTAAATGGAAGGAGATTACATTCATGAATTTCCTAATGTGTATTTGATTGCAGTGTCAACATAAATGTCATGGAGCAAACTTACCATTTTCACAGCACTTTCAGCTTGATTGGTCACAGTTGTTAGGGTGGGCTTGTTTAATTTTGTTTTTTATAGCTACATGAAACTAAATGTGTGCCTTTTTGAAGTTAGTGTGCCCTATGTAAATCTGTGCTTAGGGTCTGGAGGAAAAAATAACCAAGAAACTGTGCTTAATGCTGCTTGTAGAAAATGTATACATTTTGTAATTAAATATATTTATTCAAATATATCTGTATATATAAAACTTTACACAATTCTTTTAAGTGTCCATTTCAAATTATATCTCTATTTCATCTCAATTAAAAGTACAATGACAGTTTTCAAATAAAAATATATCTGAATTAAAATGTAATTTATATTCTGAAAAGAGACTTCATAAAAATTACATCCCAGGTATCCATATTTATTCAGTCTCAAATACTTCTGACTCGTAAACAGAGAAAAATATACATAGAATATAATTTTTCTGTCAGTCTTAGCATCTCAGGTTGGGAGCTGAAATCAAACTGTTCTTTTGGCTCAGTAAATATGTTACAGTTAGTAGTTATCTGACAGTCATGAAGAAGAAAGAATATTTTTTTGTTGGCTCTACTGTGATGACAGACATAAAAGCTCGTCTCTATCAGTGCTGGGAAGTTTATGTCACTCTGACATAGGAGAGCAAATATGCTAAATCTGATGACATTTTTGCAGTCATTTCTCAGTACATAGCCACATTTGAAGGTTTTATTTTTGTTTCCTTTCAACATTTAAGTCTTGAGTAATAAAGATGAATGTGATTGTAGGAATTCAAAGAAACAAAAACCTCAAAAAGTATTGGATTTTAGCCACATAATCTCCAATGACTTCAACAACAGTCACCTAGCTAAATCTATGTGTGTGCTTTTAAAAAGTGCAGCGCTAAATTTGGTTCTAAGATTCGAAAAACAACCCTAAACTTCTGATCACTCCTTGTGTCTAATTCCATTTAGTACTTTATTCCATTCTGCAAAATGGTTTGTAAAAGAAGTATATCTCCTAAAGACAGCCTTCATTTCCTACCTAATCTTCAGCTTCAACTAGTTCTCTAATTGTTTCATTCTGTAGACCACCAAGAAGCAGCTCCACAGACCACAGTTTACGAATCACTCTGCTATGGCATATTATTTGCTAATTCCAAATAAGTGAGGGGGATAAGTGGTTAAGTAAGAGAATTTGAACACTGAAAATTACAGTTTAAAAGGAATATAGGAATCAGTTGTCTGTCTAGTACTTCATTTTTTGGCAGAATTAGTTATTACTTCTTAGATTGTAAACTTTTTGGGGAAAGGATGATGTCTACTTCTTAGGTTTGTACGGCACCCAAAGTGGGGCCCTGATCCTGTCTGGAGCATCTGGGCTTATGATAATATAAAGATTAAATAATAATAATTAATAATATTGAGTTGTACCATTGGTTCTCATTTAGTCATAAATAGGGGTCTACTTAAATTTTTCGCAGGTTGGTAACAGCATAAACAGACAATTGCTATTTATGCAGTGACCAGCCTACAAAAAATTTTGTGATTTCTTTCCAGCATTTCTCAAACTGGGGACCCTGACCCAAAAGGGGGTGGCAAGCCTATTTGGGGTCGCAGTATTGCCATCCTTACTTCTCTGCTGCTGCCGGCGGTGGCGCTACCTCAAGTTGAGCTGCGGGAGAAGCTGCTATCCGCTCTGCTTTCAGAGCTGGGTGGCGGGAGAGCAGTGGCTGCTGGCCAAGTGCCCAGCTCTGAAGGCAGCGCCACCAGCAGCAGCAGCACAGAAGTGTAGGATTGCATATTACTTCTGTGCAGCTGTTGGCAGTGGTGCTGCCTTCAGAGCTGGGTGCCTGGCCAGCAGCCATTGCTCTCCACTCTGCCTTCAGAACTGGGTGGCCAGAGACCAATTTCACAAGGGAGACCAGATTTCACAGTCCATGACCTGATTTTCACGGCCACGAATTTGGTAGACCCCTAGTCATAAATAATCCTTTGTGTGAAGAATACAGTGAGATAAAGTTGATCATTTTCAATTATTTGCATTAATGTGATTTCTACATTACATTTTTACCACTTTATAACTCTCCTACATTATAATTCAGCTCCATTGACATCCATTGTAAAATTCCTCTTTATCACATGCCCTATGATTTTATTACTTTAGGTTTATCCTTTGAATTTAGGGTATGTCTACACTACAGGATTAATCCGAATTTAGATAATTCGAATTTGGGAAACAGGTTGTATAAATTCGATTGTGCGCGGCCACACTAAGCACTTTAATTCGGTTTTAAACCACATTAATTCGGTGGTGTGCGTCCACACTAACCCTAATTCGAATTAACAAAATCGATTTAGGCTCTACTCCGTTCGTCGAGGTGGAGTACAGAAATCGATTTAAAGGGCCCTTTAATTCGAATTAACTGGCTCTGTAGTGTGGACGGGTGAAGGGTTAATTCGGATTAAGGCAGCTAAATCCGAATTAAAGTCCTAGTGTAGACCAGGCCTTAGTGGTTAGTCCAATTTAGTCCAAAATTAAGAAGAAAATTAAACACCTCGTTAGTTTGTCAAATATTTGTATACTTTAAAAAGAGCTTGTGTTATCATGGTTTTCTTTTGGCTTTATTTCTCTTCTGTGTGAGACACAGTATTAATAGATTTTAAGGCCAGAAGGGGCCATTATGATCATCTGGTCTGACTCTCTGCAGAACACAGCCCAAAGTACTTCACCTAGTAATTTCCATATCAAGCCATAACTTTGTTTGAGCTATTGCATACTTTTTAGAAAGATATTCAGTCTTGATTTAAAAACTTCCAGACACGAGAATTCCTAAGACAGGGCTGCAGATAAACGTTAGATTCTTTTTCCTACTGGGGAACATTGTTTATTTCCTTTTTCGATTAATCTCTCTCACATCAGTTAATATATACTGAGTATTAACTTTGCCTGCTTATTGTTACAGTTTGAAGATGATTGTGAGTTATTCAATAACAGTATTTAATTTAGAGTATTTAAGATTGTTTATTTTTAAAAAGATGTTTAAATATGAGAAATAGTTTGGGATTCAAAAAAGGTAAAATGTTATCACAAAAAGAATATTATCTGTTTTCAAATAGAAATGCAAGTGGTTTACAAAAGTCGCAATTTTGCATGTTTGTTTTTGAAAACTTTTTTTTAATTTTTTTAATTTATTTTTAAAACTGTTTTATTATTTGAAAACTAATCACAATAATGTATTCAAAGAAAAAACAGTTTATTTTATTAAACAGAAAATATGTAATGAAAAAGCACTACAACATCTAAAACATTTTGATCTTTTTTTTTTTTTTAAATTGTAGGCCAGATTTAAAATATTCCCTATTAGAAACTATATTAAAGAATGTTTAAAATTGCAGAGATAAGCACTCAAGTCAGGAAACAGCAGACTCAACTTTAACTCTGCCACCTTGTGTATGTTTATGATGGTTCAGTCTTTGATTGCATGATAACATTCAGATCTTCAAATATCATATAATTTAATATGATACAATTTTTCTATAACTTCAGATTCATATATTTCATCTTTTATTATTGTTATACCTAGGGTGACCAGAGAGGAAGTGTGAAAAATCGGGATAGGGGTGGTAATTGGCAACTATATAAGAAAAAGCCGGGGACCAAATATCAGGGACATCTGGTCACCCTAGTTATACCTATTCCAGGATTGCTCACAATGTGCTAGCCTCTTTTCTTCTTCAGAATCTAGAATGATCTCCCATGTACAGATATATTTGTGTTCTTATCCTAAACTATTAAACACTAAATATGCTTTTTGACAGCGGCTGATATAGTGCTGTCTTCCTAATCTGGTATTTTCCCATTGTGGTGCAGGGCCACCCAGAGGATTCAGGGGGCCTGGGGCAAAGCAATTTCAGGGGCCCCTTCCATAAAAAACAGTTGCAATACTATAGAATACTATATTCTCATGGGGGCCCCTGCAGGGCCCGGGGCCTGGGGCAAATTGCCCCACTTGCCCTCCCCTCTGGGTGGCCCTATTGTGATGTTTCATAATAAAGTGAATGTTGAGAATATACAATATCAAGATATTCTGTAAAGGCTCTGTGTCTGATGGAGAATGTTAGGAACTGCACATACACAAAAATGCACGTGCTTCATTTGTTTATGCAGTTAGTATGTTGGCTGTCAGTCATGGTAACTGGGTATTGAAATAGCCTGCTAGACATGTAAGTGGTCAGTTACATGCATACATATAACTGCATACACAAATGGTTTACACACACATCTCGTCATACACTGGTCTGAAAATACAAACCTAGAAATCTTGGACCATAATGTGTTTCAAAAATTAAAATAGTCTCGTAAGAGTTTTTTCGCTATTAACTCTATAGCATTCGATAAGGAAGATCTTAAAATGAAACAACTGCCAGTGCATAATTTTGTGTTTGACACTGTTTTGTTCATCGAGCAAGTCAGCTGATGTTTTTTTACTTTGCTTTCTGCAGGTATTACTCTGTTTTTCCCGAGATACATCAGTACTGGAGCACTTTTCTTACAATAGTGCTACTCCACCCAAATCATACATACGAGGTAAAGAAAAAGTATTGTGTAAGATAATATGTAGTGTAGTGTTGATTGCTGCATGTAGTATACCAAAAAAGCAAATCTCTATGGACTTAATTTATGTATATTACATATGCACACAAAAAGTACATTAGAAGAACATAGTTAAGATCACAAAGTCAAACACTCAAAAGTTAGGAAATGCCAGAATTAAGGTTGCCTATGTATGTGCATTATGAAACATTCTTTAATTACATGATCATATACTGTTTTTTCCACAGAACCCCTGCCTTTTTCAGTGCACAGAATGAGCCAGCTGAGGCTGGGAAAATACTATAATTATTTATTTTACTGGTATTAGCACATAGGGTCCCCAGTTGTGGACCACGACACCATTGTGCTAGGTGCTGTACAAACACAGAACAAAAAGGCAGTCTCTGTCCCAATGAGTTTACAATCTGACAGACCACAGATGGATACAGGCAGACCAAAGGTTGTGTACAAAGAAATAGTGAGACAATATTGGTCATCAGGATAGTCTGCAGTCTCAGCATACCAGCAGTGTATAGCTTTTGTCAATTTTACGTAGGCCTATTGACAAAGGAGAGTTTTATGGAGGGTTTTGGAGGAAGCTAATGTTAGTTTTGAAGATGTTTACAGGAAATTTCTTACAGGCGTGAGGGTCAGCATTAGAGAAAGCATGAAATATATGATCATGTCATTGAAGACTATATAATAATGAATATACATGCATGGGCAATCTTAATTCTCGTGTTTCCCGATTTTTGGAGTGCTTGACCTTAATATTATTTTAACTTAGGTTTTTTTGATGTGTAATTTCCTAGGTTTTTAAAAAAGCAAACTGAAAAAACAAATTCCGTCATATGTTATCATATTGACACCTACAGGGGTCATCAGCAGGGATTGGAACCTTGAGATCCACTATACAGACCTCTGCCACTTGAGCTAATGGAGTAACTGATTGCAGTAGCAGGTTGTCATCCTCTGTGTGGACAAGTACTACGGGGGATGGGACATTTTGTCAGGGTTTTTACAGATATTTGCTGACAGCAGAGGACTCAGGAATCTGCGTTCCATTCCAGGCTCTGGAGAGGAGTGTGTTCTTCTATCCATTTCCCCACCCCAAACTTGACCCCTTGCCTCATCACCTCCAACCTATCTCTTCCCCACCCCTGGCTCCTTGTCCCTTTCCCAATCTCTTTGTCCATCATATCCTACCCTTACTCTCTGCACTTTCTGTCCCACTCAGTCTCTTGTCCAGCTCTTCATCTAATATGCGGGGTGTAGGCTCTGGGAGGGAGTTTGGGTGTGGGAGGCAGGGCCGGCTCCAGCATTTCTGCTGCCCCAAGCAAAAAAAAAAAAAAAAAGCCGCGATCGGCGGCAGCAGTTCGGTGGCAGGTCCTTCGCTCCTAGAGGGAGTGAGGGACCTGCTGCCCCTCTCCCTTGGCCGCCCCAAGCACCTGCTTGTTAAGCTGGTGCCTGGAGCCGGCCCTGGTGGGAGGGGGCTCAGGGCAGGGGGTTGGGGCTCATGAGGGATTTGGGGGTGCTGGATACGGCGGGCGCTCACCTCGAACTGCTCCCCGCAAGCAGTGACCTGTCCCTGCTGTTCCTAGGCGGAGGTGCAGTTTGGCAGCTTTGCACGCTGCCTCCTTGCCAATGGGAGCTCAGAGCCAGCACTTGGGGTGGGGTGGGCTGGCACCCCCTGCCGCACCGAAACTCCCTCCCTGTTAGTTAACTGGAATTTTTCACTTACTGGCACCCCACCCCCATTTCTCCAACATGCCAGATAAACAAGCTTTTACTGTATACAGACAATAAATGGTGTAAAGTTTTATTGACATAAGTTTGGGATAATTAGTTATATTACTCATGAATGGTGAAGTCATGAGAGAGTTACTTTAGATACTCTAAATGAGTGCTAATAAAATCCTACCCTGTCAAACTATCGTGTATTCTGTATATGCTGCTTACTTTATAAAAGAAAAACTCCCATTGACTTTAATAGAGCTTGAGTTTAACTGCATGGTACTTGGAAGGACAGAAGAATATAACAAATAAATTTTATAAACCTATGAAACTTTAGTCCAATATCCCTGGGCCGTCGTGCCAGGAGGGTCCAGAGCAAATGGTGTATATAATCTTGGAAAGCTGGGACTCTTCCCTTTCCAATCGTATACTCTCATTGCTAGTACATTCATGAGATACTAGATTAAAGTTACCATTGGAGCAAACCTGAATGTTGACCATTTTGGATTTCCATTCAGTGTAATTTTATTGAGAAACTCCACAATTTGGTGAAGGATGAGATCGTTTCTTAGCAGAGTCATTATAAAAAATGGCATTTGTTTGAACTTACTTAGAAGTTTAGAACAAGTTCTGGTTCCAGTGAATTAGTGAACAGAATGTACATGATACTGCAGCTTCTAAGTCTCAAAGTTATCCCATGTATATCACCACTATGTATATGTTGTGTATGATTGTATATTTTGTGTGTGTGTGTGTGTGTATATAATCTCAGTGTATTCAAATAGCCATATTTTAATGTATTTGTGGTTAAATTTCTTCTTTATATGATAGTATTAAATCTAAAAATCAGATTAATTGTTACTAAGTCCTCCATTAAGTAGACAAACTTTCTCTTCCCACAGGGTTCATGTGTGTGTATATATACAGTTGGCCACAGCTAAACAGGGAAGTTTTTGATCCAGTTCTATTGGTTCGCTAGTACAGTAGAACCTCAGAATTACGAACACCAGAATTACAAACTAACAGGTTAATCACACACCTCATTTGGAACCGGAACTATGCAATCAGGCAGTAGCAGAGACCACAAAAAAAAAAAAA